TATATCCCCCACCCCACCCCCTCCCAACACGCTATTGAAATACTCCTTACTGTAGTATCTTTGCTGATTATTTCTACAAGCAAATACGTTGTTTAGCAACCATACAAACAGACACTTCATTCATTACTGTATTTGAATTGTAGTTTTAGAGATATTTGAGGACAAATTACAAAATTTCACTTCCAAAGGTGCTGGATACATCTGTAGTTATTGAAAACGTTTACGGATCAGAAGCCTTAATGTTTGAAAGTACTACATGAGCTAAACTCAGAAATATCCGAGCATTTTTGACGCGATACGAGCGGGTTTAAAAAATCGCACGGTTGGCACGATGGCGTCATTCTACTACCACTACCAAAATGCTGAAGTCGCGAATATTCATTCTTTTGCAAATTTATAGTTCCTCATGAAAATAGTAAGGCAATCGGTGCTAATTAACTAAACAAAAGAAAGCGTTCAAGGGAGCCTGGTAGTGGTAATAAATGACGCTATAATGCAATAAGTGGCCTATTGTCGGAGTCACCTAAAGTTTTTGGAGCACCACACCTTCCCGTACATCAGTGCCAGTTATATGACACATTTTCTAGTATAAAGTGTTCATGATAGCAAATGAAAAATTCATTGCCATTCGTTGCCTTCTGTTTTCCGGTAGGTTTGGTCAGCGGGCAGCCTCATGAAGCACAATCCTCCATCAGATTTCTTATGGAAGGAGCAGCATAAATGGGGGACTGGACCTGAATGTACSACAATTCTTTGCAAGCCTAATGGACAGGTAAGATAAGTGAAAAATTCAGAGAATGGGAACCCTGTGTTGAAGAATTCTTGCAGGACCCACCTGATATTYGTATCACGTGACCGTCTAATCCTCTCTGTCACACAATATATGCGAGGTCAGATAATCATGAATATAATCATTGGTAAAGCTTTTTAAGGGTCTTTAACTGGGATTGTTTGGGGGGGTGGGGGTGGGGGGAGGAGGGGAGCTGGGAAAATGGGATTTTATGCACTGGGAATAGAATGGAATGAAATACTGCACTCGTGGTTYCACTTTTTGTTTTGAACTTAAAGCCGTCATCTAAGACCAATAAATGGAAATCTATGAGAAATTTGACTCCTTAAGTCGTGGACAACCTTATTTTTTAGTTTATATTTATTCCTTACCGCAACTATGACATAAAAATCCAAAAAAGATTATTTCTGTATTTGTTTTCAGGCAGTGGCATGGACAACCGCTGCTTTTCCATTTGGTGTTCCTAATCAAATCCCTACGCGGGACACTGGCCCGGGATCCCCTCGGGATACGGGTTTGGACAGAGAACCTTCAAGAGAGCCAAAGTCACCCAGGTATGTATATACACCTATTTCAAAAACGTAGCCTGCGCCACATCCGGAATTTTCTTCGTAAATACCGTGGACTTATTCGAAAGAAAAGGCCGGATGGAACGCAGGCTACAAAAACGTTGTCATTGCCAAAGGCGATAGGCCATAGGCCATAGGCGAAAAGAGAAAGGAGATAGTCCATACCAAGATCCAAGAATAGCTGGAATGACTTGTGTTTCTGCTTCTTATTCTCGTCAAGAACATGGACCTTAGTGTTGAGACTGATTCAATGTTCTTTGTATTCAACGAAACCATTTCCATGTGGAATGACCTATCGCCTATCACCTTTTGCGATGACAACGTTTTTTGAAATAATTTTTTGTATCAATTGCCGATTTTTGTCCTAGGCCTTATTACCTGTGGCGGGGTCCCTGTGTATTCTATTTCTAATCAAGAAATGTTTTTGCATATCTTTAGGTCCAAGAACCCAGAACCACCCCCACGGGAGATTGAAAATAAGTCTTTCTCCAGATCTCCAAATGACCCTCTCCACCCCCACGCGGTTCAAACCAGGGTCAAAACGGGGGGCCACGATGGGATGACAATGAACCCGCAGTCAAGATCCCAGACAGTACGACCTGACCCGGCTGGTGCTAGTCGTACGGGGGGTGCACCACTGAGAAGATACGCTGGGTCATCTTTGCCCAATGACAAGGTATGTTGAACCAGCTGATCTGAGAGAAAATGTAAGCCAATCAGAATCGAGAAGATTTGCCMAACTGAGGTATCACTTTTCTTCTAGAAAGTATTCTGATATCCAGGGCCCGGTTGCATAAAGCCCTCTTTAAGTGCCCCTAATGCCTGATTACAGACTCATTTAGAACAAATCCTCACATTGTCATAAACGCGTTTTTCAGAAATTTTTTCGTTTCAAACGAATTCCTGATTTTTTACGGCACGAAGAAGTTGGCAAAATTCTCGTGTCCACTCACTCTCAAAATTTCAGTACCGCGTTCGAGGAGCCTGAAAAATYGTATAGACTTACGTTATCGGGGTGATACACCATTTTTTTTGTGGGTCAAGAGTGCTGTTTTTAAAAGTTTTAAGAAAGAAAAAATGCCGAAATATTGAGCCTTTTACTTATTGTACGAGTGAATCCAACTTGGAAGGATGCACAAGTCTTTCACTTTTGGAACGTATCACCCCGATGACGTAATCGCACCTGTCCCCCTTACACGCAGTCCTTACATGAAAAGGCGCGTTTTCAAAACTCATTTAAAAATCAGGAATGCATCCAATTTCAATTTTTTTTTGGATTTTCGCATTTTTCATGAATATATCTTCAACTTACATAAGGTCTGTGATTAGGCATTAGGGGCACTTTAAGATAAGAGCATGTTTAAAAAATGTCTATCAAATATGTATGTATTTATAAAGTTGTTTGTAATTATTGTTTAAAGATTTTAATGTAAACCACTAAATACCTATATAGTTATATTTTTATGTGTTTTATCAGATCTTTTTGTAAAGCGCCGTTGAACCATGGGGATATTAGCGCTGTATAAATCATAATTTATTAATATTATTAGAGTACAAACACTAAAAGTGTACAACACTTTGCACTATTTAGTAGTAAGTAGTGCTAATTAAACAATAGAAAACAATAGGATTAGCATAATTTAGCAGTATTTAGTGGTATTTATGTTACACACTTATAGTGTTTGTACTCTATTATTATTATTATTATTATTAGAGTGCACGCACTAAAACCGTGAACATTAATTAGTACTAATTAGTACTATTTCATACAGAATCCTTTGTTTTCTATTGTTTAATTATCACTATTTAGTGCTAAGAATTAGTATTTGTTTCACGGATTTAGTGTGAGCACTCTATTATATCCGKAAGTAATGTTTCAAAACAATAGGCCATTGCACTAAGACAATACTTACGAGTATTTTTAAGCTTTTTTATCTTAAGAGAACTTCATGCAACTGGGCCCAGGTCACCAAATGAAAAGAATAACGTTGCTAATACGAGGGTGATAACAGTAACACAATAACTAATGCGTTAGATATTTTTAATTTTTAATGGTGAACAGGTTTTTATTTTTCGGTGGTCCAATTTTCACAGCTTCATGACTCCTCAATTTTGCAGTGACGTCATTTCTACGTCACTCTATTCAGATCAGCGGGAAGTCCTTTTGAAACGTGAAGTCACATAGTAGCTTTGCACCATAACGTTGGCAGCCACGACAGGAGGCACAACAATAGTCTCTTCCCCCCTCCCCTCCCCCCGTGAGCCTGAATTCTTTCATGTCTAAATCAGATTAGACCAGATTCAATAGCCCACTTCCGAGATATGCTTCGCTTGTCACGCACAAAGGTTTCAGTATGAGGCTACGTGCTATATACTCAGTCATTCGTGACAGGCGTTAAGAATAAATTTAATTTAGCACGTAGCCTCATACTGAAACCTTTGTGCGTGACAAGCGAAGCATATCTCGGAAGTGGGCTATTGTTCCTGCCTCCTGTCATGGCTGCCATCAATAACAATCAATGGCAAAGCCTTTAATAGYGCAATATCTTGAAATTCAGACTTGTCGAACATTTTCAGGACTCTAGCCCTAAACAAGGTCATGGAGGAACGATCCGAGTGATGCCAAGCTCAGAATTCACCTCCCCAAAGCAAAACTACCAAGACAGACTATCCAATCTTACTACCCAGCAACGAGTTAACTTCTCTCCTCCGCCTCCAAGACCTTACGTTGCATCGCGATGAAAAGCTCTGAACGTGTCGTAATGTCACCATCGTGTGGTTTTCAATCATGGAAGCAAGGAGATATTTTCAACCAATAGTCCCCTTCACAGTTCCCTGCGCCATCTTGAAAGGTAGCTGTGCCTTTGCATCGAAGCGAGACGAACGGTGAGCTTGCAATGATAGAGACCGTTTTCTCAAGGTTGCGTGCGCATCCAACTCGTTACGGCCACAAAATTGAAAAACGCAAATTCAGTAAAACTGAGAAGCCAGTTTTATATTTAAAGAGGAGAATAATCGATTTTATGAATTCTTATCGAAAAATGGAAATCTTGTCAATGTATGATAATAGACCCCTTCACAGTTCCCTGCACCAAAACGAGACGAACGGTGAGCTTGCATTAATAGAGACGTGAATAATTGTCCAAGGTGTTAAAAAAGGTCTCTATCAATGCAAGCTCACCGTTCGTCTCTTTTCGATGCAAAGGCACGGCTACCTTTCAAGATGGCGCAGGGAACTGTGAAGGAGACTATTCTCATTATAAGCTCCTGTTCTTGTATCGTGGCCCGTCAAGTCCCTTTAATTTGTATGGTCATAGAGACCTTTTTATAACACCTTGGACAATTATTCACGTCTCTGTCATTCCCAGCTCACTGTTCGACTCGCTTCGATACAAAGTCACGGCTACCTTTCAAGATGGCGCAGGGAACTGAGAAAGGGAACACTGTGTACTCCTTAAACTCATTGAATTTAATTTTAGTTTTTAAGGGTGCCTAAAAAATCTCTTGAAATTTAATAGTTCTGCTCAAATTCCTTGAAAACTCCTTGAATTTATATTCTGATGAATGTGATAGTCGATGACTATATTTCTTTCCTCCAAAAACGAATTGACCAATCAGGGAAAGGGATGACCTAGTGTCACGTGATACCTAGTAAACTCTTATTTTAAACTGAAATGCATGCGTTTTCTAAAG